TATAACAGGAAAAAGAAGATATACTGCATCTGTGACATGATTTTTGTTGGACCTTCAAAGCAAGTCAGGATTTCTTCAAGCTCTTCAGGTGGTGTCTTCAATCAACTTGACATGTGAGGAGCATTATTTTGCCTTTGACGAGGCTCTAGAAACATTTGGAGTGAAGTTCATAAAGGAAAATATGACTGGACAGATGACTAATTCAGAAAATCTAAAGCAGAATATTAAAGCAGCACAAGCAGAGTATGACTGACTTAACTTGTTAATTTCAGAATTTGCTAGAGATCAGTCAGTGAGCAGAAGTTTACAGTCTGTTAAGAATCATCAAGAAGCTCTTTGAAAATTAATTACTGAACTCAAAGTAGGATTTAGCAGCTCACAGCCAGAATCACACTCCTTATTTGCAGAAGCTGCGCAATTGATTGATGTTGGTTTCCAACAAATGTTTACTTGCTATGAATCAGGAATTGAAAGAATGACCACCATTGTTGAGCAAGATATTCATCATACTATTCCCCAAGTGAAAGCAGGATGAGGTAGATGGGATCTGATGCCTATGAAGCTGACAAAGAAGAAGAAGACTGACCACATATCAGAAATAAGGGTAGAAGCAGGAGGCAGCAGTTCTGTGCAAGTCTCAGAACTAATTAATATAGAAGTTGAAGAAATCAATCCAGAATTAATTAATATGGAAGTTGAAAAAATCAATAAAGAAGACTTGCTATCAATACCATTATCTGGAATCAGTCTGTCTTCTGGATCCATACTTCAAACATCACATCCAACAAAATACAAATCCACAGCGGTTGAAGAACAATACCTGAAATAGCTTGAAGCATACAAAGACTTCACTATATTACCCAGAAAAGTTGTCAATGAGCTGGTGGAAAAGTTGTCGCAATATACTGATTATTGGACACCAAAGCGAGTTCGAGATTGATGGTATAACTGATATAAGAGATCAAAAAAGGTATGTGTAAATATATTTTGGAATGAATATTGTGTTAGAATCTATACAATCCAAAGCAAATTATCATTATAACTTCTATATTACCTTCTTTTTATTCAGTTAAATCTTGAAGTATCGGCTAAGGATAATTAGCATTTGCCTAAACAGGTAAGGAATTTTAAATCTTGCATACATTTCAACTCATGTTTGACTGAATGAATATGTTCTAATAATCATAAAAAAAAATTTTTGTTAATTAAAAGAAATATTGTCATCTATACTATACCATGAAACAGCTTTTCTTTCACATGTTTGTAATGTACTAACCCCTTGAGGTAAAACTTTGTAGATGGTTATTGTTTGGGTGCGTCTGGTGAATCACTTTTTATGGCAAGAATTTGTGAGCCGAAGAATAATCTAGCAAAAATAGGCAAAATGAACACTAATTTCAAAGGCGTTTCACTTTACAGGGAGACATTAGTTTTTCGTGATCTTTGCACTGCTCTGTTCATAGAAACCTCAACAATAATTTTGGTTTAGGGAACTTTATGTGTTTTGGCTAAGACTTTGGACAAAAAATTCACATGTATGATTAATCGATTTTTTAAATTGATCGACATAATATGTTTAATTTCTACGTGTGACAAATCGTCTGACTGATATGTACATGTAGATCATTATGCGTGTATTTACTATGCGCATATTCGTACTATACGCATAGTGCGCAAAGTACGCATAGTGATGTACTATGCGCGCATTTGCCCATCTCTAGTCCCGTCACAATACAAATTGCTGAATGCTGTTATATAATAAGGATATTAAAGTAAATTTGTGTTTATACAGTTTATTAAACAATAAATTATGCAATCAAATCTCGTTAGACCGAACCCCGTTGATTCCAAGGACAGCCATAATGAATCTTCTTTGTTAAATAAAATATATTAATAAATCGAATTCTTATAGTGCCAACCGATTCAATTCAACAAAGTTATTAATTGAATTAATTATTTATGTTTTTTATAATTATTTACATTTTCAATTATAATTTGGTTTTTTATATATTAATTTGTGAATATACGCAATGTTGTCATAGGACACGGACATGGACAGTCCAGTATATACATGTCCCACAATTTTTGATATTGAAAATGATGATTATTATTGATAATAGAAATTCAAAATTTTAATGCCATATATTATGTTAACAAAATCTAGATTCAGATAAATGAAGGGTTACTGTGATAACTACAAAAAATTGCGCTCAAATAATATTTCTCATAGATATCTTTAAGACACTAAAATTATGTCTATAGCCTATAGTCATTGTTTTCCTAGCATATGCCACTAAAGAATTGATAACTATTTCGCAAATTTAGATTATTCGTATTTGCTTAGTTTAGTATTGCCTCATATTTTATCTTTAACTTCATTTTGTTCGAATTTATTAAATATAACAAGAGAATTTTCAAAACCACTATATAGAAAAGTTAATTAATAGATTCAATTATTGGGATTTATTTTGAGTGCAATGTTCATTACATTGAAATTTTTAATTTATTAAATACGTGATGAGTTCATTATGTTTGTACATGCTATAGTGTAATATCCCTCAAGAAGAAAAGTTAAATATAATTATAAATATCGTGTGTTATGTATATCTTTTATCTATAAAATCCAATTAACAAATCTTTAACACATAAAGAAGCAAAATATCTATTTGTAGCTAGAAGCGTATGAAATGAATTAATCAGTATTTTGAGTAATAATTTATAAATTACAAGAGTATTTGGCAAAGATAAATGGTAAGCAATTTATTGGTTTGGACTCTTACGTTAAAGTCAATTGTCTTTAGTGCAGTGCATCATAGTTCAGAGGTTTAAAAGCATCTTTCCTCCTCACTAACTTTTTGAGATTATGTAGATACAGTTTTTAGTAATCAATTCTAATTCAACTTTTACACAGATAGTAAAAAAGCTATCTTTGTCTGCTCGCATTTTTCACGAAAAATGAACATTTTAATCCAAAGCGTAAATTCTTTCTTGAAAATTAATGAATATTGAGCGCTACGATGACATGAGAATAAGGTCAAGTCTTTTATCTTGATGAACTGATGAATACAATCGTTGAGCTCATGTTAGCTTCAAAACGACCTCTTCAAGCCTATTACAGTTGCCATACAACGATAATTTTAAAAGCAAACTATCCAGCCTTTCATTTAATTTTTTATCATGCTTTTGTTTTTCAGAAAATAAATTAATTTGCGAATTCTATGCATCATTTATCATTTAAATTTTGCTGTGAACTGGAAAGAGGCTGAAATACATTGAGTGCTTTTAACGAATTTATGATAATCTACATCAATAAAATGATGTAGCATTCTAAAGAAAAATCGCCACACAATGATTGAACATATATTCATTCGAAAATTCAATTTTTTGATGCTCATAAAGAAAATAATAAAATTGAATTTATTTACCCTTAATTTAAAATATCAAGTTCACATTTTTTGTGCCATTTTTAAGTTAACAAGAATTTCTAAATAAAAATCTTTTGCAAATCAAATACCGTAATATTGTAGAAATTTAATAAGAAAAACTAGTGCTTATTTTTTAAAAATATTATTACGCTAATCTTGTTAAAAATAAAAGCTCAATAATGTATTTATATTAGTTTAACTTTATTGCTAAAAATACGATCCCATATCTATACTTTTGAAGATAATGGTTTTTCGAAATGAATTAATCAAATCAGAAAATTTTCAAGAGAAAAAATTTGAATACAAAAAATAAAGAAAAGAATTTTTTATGAAAACAAAATACCAGAATCAGAAAATCAGACATTTCTCATTCAGCACATTTCATTAATGTAATATGTAAAACTTTCAGTTTTGCTCTATATTGTTTGTCAACTTCACACGAATAAAATTTAAGATGAATAATAAATTATGCATTATAAGTTACTGTAGTATCTCTAAAACAAACTGCATAGATCAGATACTTTGAAAATTTATCTTAATTCAAGACAAACTCTGAAATTCTAAATAATATAAATTAACTATTTCGAAACTATTTTAGGTAAAAAAATCAATGACGTCACTATAATTTGTTTTGGTCTTGTTCGTTATAACTTAATAGGAGACGAAATCAAAATTTTTATGGATTTCGATACCAAAGATTTACTGATGTCATTTTAAGTTTGAAAAAGCCGACATGACGACTTTTTAAAATTAATGATTAGTTTCTCTTTCGACGCTAAAGATTGATCACTTTGATTAACCCATTGTCACCTGCTAAATAAACTAATCTCATAATACAATAGTTAAAAGTCGGTGATATGATCATTGACATTAAGTCCATGATTTGCATATAATCTTTTTGAATAGTTCTAAAGACCAGTACGGACTAAGATTTTTATGGGTCTTCTTATTTTAAACCTGATATTCGAGATTCACGTCTGATTCTAAATTAACAATTTTCTCAAATTCTGAAAATGTTGCACATCGAATTCAAAGAACGTTATATTTGATATCATTATCAAATTTTAGGGCTCTAAATGGACAAAAATGTATCAAATTAGCACATAATTGTTTATTGATGCTATTTTGAGAATATAGATGGAGTTTATTCATATAGTATTTGGTTCAAGTACAACAAATACATGTAAAAGAAAATATGTCAAAAGTCATATTCTATCATTAGAATTGTTGTTTTTATAGGTTCTGGCAGTTTTACTTTTAGCAATTTATAATATTCAATGGAATTTAGATGTAATGAAAGTTCCAGTCCTTCAAAAATATGTAAGTTACAATTGTTTAGTACTATATACGTTTTGTCTATATTAGATAGATAACTTCAAAATTATGTTCATTCTCAAAATCTCTTACTGAGATTAGAGTTTTTACTGCAAATTATTTGGCCACACTCGTATTTCGTGTTTTTTAACTGTAAAGTAAGATTTTGGCGTTATTTTTTTGATAAACGGGAAGGTCAAATTGAGATGTAACGGTAGGTTTTTGTGCGGATATACTGTACCTTGATAATCGAAAAAATAATCAAACTGAAAACTGAAGAGCAAGATTTTGTCTGGTCTCGTCTTGATAATTGGAAATGGGATCAGAATTAAGTGTGGATTCGTCTTGATTACCGAAAAAGTGATCAAATGGAAGAATAAGGTTTTGTTTAGATTCGATTTGATATTTAGGAAAGTGATCAAATTGAAGAGCAGGACTTTGTGTCGATTCTTCTTGAGAATTGGAACGTTGAAGATTAGGATTTTGAATGGATTTATCTTGATTACTCAAAGAATAATCAAATTGAAAAAAAGGAATTTGTGTGGGTTTTTCATTTTGATAGTTTGAAAATTGAAGAGTAAGATTTCGGATAGATTTATCTTGATAACCAGAAAGGTGATCAAACTGAATAGCAGAATTTTGTGCGGATTTATCTTGATAACCAGAAGAGCAATTAGACTGAAAAGTAAGCTTTTGTATCGATTCGTCTTGAGAACGAAAAGTTGAGGAGTAACATTTTGGATGGATTTGTCTTGAAAACTGGAAAGTTGATCACTAGATTTATCTTGATAGCCAGCAGAGTGAAACTGGGGAATAGAATTTTGGCTGGACTTCCGGTCCTTCTTGCGTGAATATTTATGTTTTTCAAGCTCTTTTAAATCACATGACATTTTTTTGTAGGCTTCTTTTTGAAATTCTGGTAGTTTTTTCCATTGATTGCTAGCAATACGAGAAAAGCTAAGAGCGTCACCTATTCGAAATTTTAAATCTTTTATTTCTGCTGTAATGCATGCTCGAAATATTATAAATTTGCTCGGAGCTTTACTTTTAGGATCGCCATTCCTTTTGTCTTTTAAAAAATGTTTTAGTGGAAGATAAGGAGGAAATGAAGGTATGTAGTCTTTTAAAAAATATTCCATTAAACTATTGGAAGGTGTGATATTGTCTGACATTTTGAAATTACTGGTCAGAATTTTTGGTAACTAAAGGTAATGTTGATTCCTAAATTATTTAAAACAATATTATTTTCTTAATTGATAAATTTTTAGAAAAAAGAAGATATTTGTTGCATATCGATTAGTTATTTATATAATATTGAAAAATTTTGCGAAAGTTTAAACGCAAGCATGAACGCGTCACTGGTATCTTTTCATTTCTGGAAAACTGCTGCCGGTATAAGAAAATAACATGTATTTAATAATGAAAACCAATAAAAATAGCATTGTTTTTCTTTCTGTCAAACAAGTAACGGGTATGGTAATTTTTTAGCGATTTACATTCCGAACAGGAGTTCTTTGTAACATGTAAAAATCTTTCTTTTACATGTACACTCGGTGATTCCAAACTTTTGTTCACCGATCATACGTTATACATGTACATGTACTAATTTCCCCTGAAGTTTAGATTGAACAATGAAAAATCAATCGCTGATTATAAAATTGTTTACGCAATATCACCTGGCAAAACAAATCCGATTAAAAAAATGAAAAAGTGTTCAGATGAAAATTTTACATATATTTCAAATCTCGAACTCTAACCTTAACATTAACCCTAACTTTATAAACAAACATTAATATTTTTCAGAGATTAATATTACATGTACTTGATTTTGATTTTGCCCAATCAGCGATGAGATCCTCCATTGCCCAATCAAAACTTTGAGGGAAAATTAGTAAATACATGTACACTCCCCTGACACGGGTCATGGGACTTTCTGAATTAAGTATGATCAGCTATGACTATTAGCATTCTTTCTAAGCGATTTGCATGCAGATTAGCATAAATAAAGTGATACAAATTTTTTTTCCCTTTTTTCAGAAGACTTCTTCTTTTTATTGTGTAATCGAGACACTACCTCATCCTTTTCTTACTCGTGATGAATAAAAAACGAAGAGAACTTTCAGAAAAAGAACGCAATGAGATCATCGGTGCTTGGAAGTGCGGAGTGCCGATTCCTACCATTATAAATACCCTAAAATTCAAAAAAACTACTGTCTACAGGATTATTAACACTTATAAAAAAACTGGTGAAATAAAACCACCTCCACGCCCCGGACCAAAGCCTAAACTAACTAAATGAGACACACATCATCTTGTTCATTTATTAAAGACAGATCGAAAAGCTTCCTTAAATAATTTAACTAATAAATTTATCGAGTCGACTTCTACCAATGTTTCCTCACATACTATACAACGTTATCTGCATGAAGAAGGATTTTATGGTCGAGTTAGCAAGAGAAAACCTTTCGTCAACGAAAGAAATCGTAAATTACATTTGGAATGGTCTCGAGAAAAAATTAATTGGAAGGAGGAGTGGAAATTCATCATATGAAGCGACGAATCACGGTTTGAAGTATTTGGGGGAGACGATTATGATTATGTTTGGAGAAAACCTGAAGAGAAATACGATGTTAACTGTTTAGTTCCAACCTTTAAATCAGGTCACAAGGGGGTCATGGTCTGGTGATGTTTTAGTTCATTTGGATTGGGTCCTCTAGTTCGAGTTAATGGTAGGCAAACTGCAAATGACTATATCAATGTTTTAAATAACCATTTGTTACCTTATTTAGGAGGGTTGGATATCAAAATAATTATGTATTTCAAGATGACAACGCACAAATTCATCGAGCAAGGTCAACTTTGCGTTGGATTTCAGATAATAATATTGATCAACTTCCCTGGCCCGCGCAAAGCCCCGACCTCAATCCTATCGAGAATATTTGGGATGAATTAGAGCATTGTATTCGTAAGCGCATTCCTCTACCAAAAAATGAAACTGAACTGTTCAATCTGTTGCAAGAGGAATGGTCTAATATAGATGAATCATTTATGGAACTTTAGTTGAAAGTATGGAGCGCCGTGTTCAAGCTGTAGTTAAAGCTAACGGGCATCCTACACCTTATTGATAAAGTCAAATAAACTTCATTGATGTAACATTTCGATAAAAAAAACCTGACGTAAATTGCTATGTAGATTGTTGAGAATTTCGAACTTGAAATTTTATAAAAAAATCGAGTATTACGATATTCGGAAAAAAGTCCCAGGGGAGTGTACATGTCATGTATAACGACAACGTTATATCGTTTGTTTTACTATCATTTCAAGCAATTCGAATTTTATAAAGTAAACTCAAAAATGGTAGCGAATACTAGCCATCGCAATGAATGCACTATTTGCCAAAAGAATGAATATTGCGATAACTGTTTAGTTCACAATATTCATGATTGTAGCAAATGTTTTAAATGCCAAAAAAAAATTCCTGCGTTGACTGTTTAAAGTATCACAAACGAATTTATAACGATAAATTGTTGCCTGGCGGAGATAAAGATATCGAAAATTTAATAAAAAAATGCAATAAATTTAATAAAAAAGGGGAGTATGAATTTTTCCTTTTCGGATGGATTCCTTTTGAAAGGAGGTTTTGGGTTAATTTATAAGCAACTTGGTTGGGATGAACAATTGAATTACTCTTATTGGGATCATGAAAAAAATAAATTTACACAATATGGAAAAATATGAAGTTGTGTTTAAATTAAGTGATACTAAGCAGATTCTAAAAGAGGTTCAGACTGGTCTAAACTACAGTAAAGATCAATTTGGAATAAATTATTATGGAATAACTAAAAATCCAACTACAAATTAATACTCGATAGTAATGGGCTATCCAGAAAAATTTGGATATAGTCTTAACTATGAAAATTACAAATTCAACTACCACAACGAAGTTGAAATTCGCAAATATATTAGTTCCAATTACGAAGAATTAAAAAATTAAGATATTTATTATATATTATCTATCTCTTAAGAAAAGGATCTTGTGAATAGTGACTTTCACCATGGAAATATATTATTGATATATATTGATGCTTTCATTGCGACTTTTGGTTCTACTGACCAGCAGATATAAAAAATCAAGAAATTTATGGAATACTTCCTTATACGAGTCCAGAGGTTTTAAGTGAAAAGCCATACGCTAAAACAGTTGTAGATATTTGTAGCTTTGGGGTGGTTATGTACGAGATTATAATTGGTAAACCGCATACTGTGAACGAAGTCATGATCATTATCTTGTATCTGACATCTATAGAGGAGTACGACCTACGATACCAAATATATTCCCGGATGATGCGAATTTATTATTGAAAAATTTTGGGATTCTATTCCCGAAAACAGACCAATGCCGAGGAACTTCACATATGACAATGAAGAATTGAAAGTGAATACTTTACATTTTCAGTATTACTTTTTAAATATAACACATGAAATTAAAGAGTATCTTAGATTAGAAGGCAGAGATGGAAAAAAACTTGATATGAAATCGCAAAAAAACATTCCTATGAATGTAAACAAAAAAAACAGATCCAATTTACACCAGTCGAATATTTACTTTAAAATTAATTTCAATTCTAACTGTTAGAGGTATGTACATTAATTATTATATTCAATCAAAATGAACATTTTGGATTGATTTAAATTCAGGTTCTACAGGCGTTAGTTTGTACGTTCCAAATGGAGGTAGGATTATATTTGATTTATATTATAATTCATTATTTCTATAAATTCACGTTGTTTTTTCTTAAATGATGCAAAATAGGTTTAACGAATTTTGTAAAATTTCGTGACTGCTATAGATGCATTTCGTGTCCGAAAATAATTATTGCGAAGGATGATTTGATTGTCGCAATCAATTATATAAAATTGGACGGTCTGACGAAAATATAGATATCGACAGCCTAATAAAAAAATTCAAAGGCTCTTCGAATGGATTCCTTTTGAAAGATTTGTCAACGTTGAGTATCTTGTAGAGGGAGATTTTGCAACAGTTCATAAAGCAACCTGGTTGGATGGAACATTAACTGAAGCGGAAGTTGAGTTGAAATCGGTGCATAATTTAAAGCAAATTACACTATAATTTACAAATGAGGTAGAAAATGAACTATTTTAATATTAATATGTAAACTTGACATGATGCTTTTTTCTAATATAATCATCTTTTCTAAAAATAGATTCAGATTGCTCTAAAGTGCACTGCATCTCGTAGTTCTTCTGGAATAAAATATTATGGAATAACTAAAAACACAACTACAGAAGAATGTTCGATAGTAATGACTCGTGCAATAAATGGCGATCTTCGCAAATACCTTAATTGCAAACGTGAAGAAATGAGTTGAACATAAGATTGGAGATTTTATGTGGCATTATTGATGATCTTCGTATTTTTCTTGATGAAAGATTTGTACATTGTGACTTTCACCCTGGAAATATATTGTTACATTATACTCCTTTTATTTCAGATTTTGGACTCACTGGTCCAAAAAAGACTAACCAAGAAATTTTTGGAGTACTTACTTATTTGAGTCCAGAGATATAAAGCCATACACAAAAGCTGCAGATAATAAATTTGCACCAATCATTTGGTATCGTAGGTCGTACTCCTTTATAGATGTCATATACAAGATAATGATCATGATTTGTTCACAAAATGGCTTTTGCCAGTTACAATCTCATACATAACCATCCCAAAGCTGTAAACATCGAAAAATGTTGGGATTCTATTCCAGAAAACAGACCAACTGCTGGGGAGCTTCATTACTTTATCAACACTATCATCTATAACAATGAAGAAAAGTGGGAACTGAATACTTTGCATTTCAGTATTACAGCTCTAGCGCACATGAAGAAATTAAAAAGTTTCTGAGAATAGATAAACAGAAATTAATAGAATGGATTTCTACGAATATAAACAAATCCACCCAAATGCAATTTACATCAGTCGAATCTTTACTTCAAAATTAATATCAATGAAGGTAAATACATTCAATCAAAATGACATTTCAGTTTTATCTAAATATATCAAATATTTATTAAGGTTTCACAAGTATCAGCTTATATGTTCCAAATGAAGGTAAAATCATTATATTATATGTACAGTTCTGGTGGAAAAAACTGGCAG